GGCCTTAGGGGGCAGGATATCCCACTTCTAAGGGCATGGTTCTAACTCGTCTGAGACAGTTGGGAACAAAAGATAATGTAGCACAGATGCTCTCTCTGCATCTCCAGGCTCCATCACATCATAACTTCCTCCCCTCTCCAATCTCAAAAGATAACAAGAAACACCAAACCATCCAAGAGAAATCTCACATCTTCTGAAACCAGGGGCAATAGAACCAGTCCCTCAGCTCGAAAGCTGATGAGGATTCCACTCCCTTTGCTTTGTGGTCAGACAAAGATTCGGTAGCTGTCCAGTTCAACCAAAACCAAAACCTCTAGAAGCTGAACAAGAGGTCATGTGGGATGGAGACCTTCCATTTTCTTCCTTCCATTTTTGTTGCAGTCTCTTCAGGAGACCTTCCAATGTCAGTGGATGTGGAAGAAACATATCTGCACATACCCATCAGGCCCTGTCGCAAATCATTCCTCCACATCACCTGTGAAAACCATCACTACCAATACAAATCATAGCCTTTTAGTGTGTCCACCATAGCCAGGATGATCAAGAAGGTATTAGGAGTGATAATAGCCTGGCTGAGGAATCTTTTTAGCCAGTGCAACATTTGGAAAGTTAACCATGTCATATAGATGAAAAGGTCCATTGTGTATAGGAAGGCTGTGTACTTTATTTGCTTACTGTATATAGAAGTGGGTTTACTATCTTTATAATAAAAGACTTATAGTGCAGCTAGTACAGAATGTTTCATTGAAATGGATCCCAGGAGTGTGATACAGGTGGTGTCTGTTGGAAATATTAACATTTATTTCATGCCAACTATTATGTTAGGATTTAAATTAGTTACAGTTATGTCCTCTGATCACAGATTTTTTGTAATAAGTTTTTTGTGTGTAGTAAAGTAACTATTTTACAATGTAGGAGTCTGTCTCAAAACAGAGCTGAATACAAAACTCACATAAATTTTCCCTGTCTGGAAGTGCGGAAGTTCCCAATCGGTATTACCCTGTCTTCAAGGCATCTCTTTTGACCTTGACTACCGTGATTTTTCTTGCCACTCTACAGTGTATATGTTTTGCTTCCTCTAGAGGGCTCACAAACTATCTAAAGGGATACTATCCAATTCCCTACAATAATAATTTATTAAATGTTCAATACTTTGACACACTTGGTATCTCACAGTGGGGAAAATATGCTTACAGTTAGGGCCACTGCCCCTTTTTTTGCCTCTTCTTTTCACCAAATTCCTTTCTCTGTTTCTCTCCCACTTCCTTATCTTTGTATCTCTCCTTCTTTCTTTCTTCTGCATTTCCTTCCCTGCAGCAACTTCCAGTTTCCCAATACTCATCTATGGGTTTCATTTTTATCCTTCTCCATTCCACCACTAATACAAGCAATGGCGTAATATTCTTATCTCTTTAAATCTGACATTTAAGGTGTCATTAGGCTTTAGCGTTAACCCTCTCCGCCCAATTAGATTAATAGAGAGAAGAGGAAACAGACACCTTTCAGAGCTTTTGTGTCTGATCTCTCCAGTCTCAGAAGACAACACTGCTTGAGTTTATATTCCGTTTGCATTTGGAAGGTTTTGTTTGCAATCATGAAGGACAGAAACTTACTCTTATTTTTTTTCATGAACACTTACATTCTGCAGAATCTGAATATGGCATGTGGGCAGCATCAACACATCCAGCAGGCTGGATCTAGCATTTTATACTGTGCTGTAGAATCTGAAAATGCTATCTCTCCACTGCAGTAAAATTGCCAGTTTAAACTGTCTATTCCCACGGAGTATTGACTCAAAAGTGTCTGCAGTACTTGAGGAAAAAATAACAAAAGATCTTTCGTTTTTTATTTGGATATCTTCATATTCTTGCTGCCTAACATTTGTATTTGAACAGTAACTTTTATTCAAATACAACTTCAAGGCCTAATATGCTTTTGCCTCACTATATGTAATTCTATTTGTGCTTGAAGAGTAGTGAAAAAACTCAGTTACTCAAAACTTTCTCTATAATGTTGAGTTGAGAGGACTTTTTTTCAGGCAAATGTAAAGACAGATCTTAACAAGCAAACGGGACAGGTAAGAAATTACCTTTCCTCACAAAAACAGAGAATGACTTGCTGTCTCCTCAGCACATCATCATCAGAGTTAAAAGCAGAACTGAAGACTCTCAGAGAAAAAAACCTGCAAAACTAGTAACTGTGTACAGACATTTGATGGGCTGCATTTTATAAGATTTTTCTCTCTTTTTTTAATTATTGGAAAAATAAAAGTTCCATGGAATCCCCTCTCTTCCCTCCCATTTTGTGGGGTTACTAGTATGACTTTATAGGGCTGTTGATTTTTAGTGAATTTTACTAGACCTCTGATTGTAACTTGAACTATATATCAAAAATATGAATCATTAATACTTTTCATTTATGGAGGGAAAATTAAAAAGTATGCAGTTCACGTGTTGATGACAATATAGATGCCTCTAAATTGGTGGAATAAGGATCTGGAGAATGAATGAGGACCTTTAGACATACTTTATTTATGACTGCTACATCCTGCTCCTCATGTCAGTGATGTTTGGAGCTTTTATAAGTGGCACAGGTAATAGAAGTATTGATGGAAATGCCACATTACTGGACAAAAAAGCGCTGTATTCTGGTAGAAAACAGTCAGACGCTAACCTCCTACATAATGATCCCTCCATCTCCCCTCCCCTGGTGAATTTAGTTATTTTTATTACAGTGAACAGAATTGCTGTTAATTCTATTTCTGGAGACTTTGTTTTTGAAATTGTCTTTCAATTTAATTAAAATAAAATAAGTAGGACTCCACTGCCCTTCTTTGGAAAATAAAAATTTGTGAGCCTTATCTCCTGACTTTGGAATTTGAGTCAACTTCTTTGCTGACTGCAATGGAGTTATGCCAGCAAAGATTTTGACTCATTGTCTCTGGTTCTGTTTGTTTTCTGATGATGTGAGCAATTACAGCTGTCTGTTGTCTGGGAATCTTTACTTTGAAAATGATTGAAAAAGTTTCTTCTTAAGGAAGGGATCCCTTAAAGAGAAAATATAAATGTCTTCAGAAATATGAAAGTGAAAGTTCTGTATTTACATTTTTGTTTTGCTATTTATCTCTCTCTAGGTTTTATGGCAGGCATACAAAGGAACCCACAAATATCCCAATATGGACCTCAACAGACTGGGCCTTCCATGTCACCACATCCTTCACCTGGAGGCCAAATGCATCCTGGGATTGGTAGTTTCCAGCAGAGTAATTCAAGTGGTACTTATGGGCCTCAGATGAGCCAGTATGGACCACAAGGTAATATAACAAACAAACCATGAGACATGCTGTTAAACT